AGCTGGATGCTTCGAATTTCTTTGTATTTTACTTTTGAAAAAGGAGCCCCAGTTGGTACTGAAGAGTGGAGTAGATGAAGTGCACTTCATCTACTTCTCCCACTAGGGAGGCAACTTTGGTTCATTCATGAAGTGGCTAATCTTTTAATTTGTTCTAGATAAAGAATACACTGGAACTCAAAAACACTTTTATTTCCTGGTATTTTTTGCTCATTTCAAAGTTTTGGCACCTGCACACCTTGCAGTTACTTTAAAGAACACTCTAAGTCTTTAAAGAACTAAATAGTGGAGTGAGGTATCCACGCTTTGGCTGTAGTTGCTCTTCATTGTTCTATTTGAGTGGGTTATGTCATGGTTAGTTTTTGATATATTTGTGGTAGCAGAACTCACAGGAATAAATTCAAGTTTTGGCCTTCAAAGGTCGTTGATTCAATAGAGAATGTGCTTATTTTGTTCTTCTAAATCCCCGATTTTCACGTTAATCAATGTCCCATTTTTTAAGTTGCCATGTGAGGCTCTCTTATGCGATTGTATAGGTGAGCTTACCAACGTTTGCACTTCTCTTCTCTGAAGTAGTGAAGTATGCACAGGAACGATCAGAAACTGTTACGGACATTCATGATAGGTATATTTCCCGATTCATTCATCAAGTTCCTTATAACGAAACCCCAGTTCCTTGATTTCCTTTTATTCAGGCTAGCGTCATATGGAAAGCTTGTTGGAATACGATTGTTGGACGTAATAACATTACGTGAGAGAGGATATCGTAGAGAAACGAAGCTGTTGGGTAGGTGTCCAGTGTTTTTCATTTTTTTGCTGTGTTGATGAGTTATTTTTCAGGCATGTTGATGTTCATAAAATCGTGTGTTTGGAAGAATTTATTTGGTAAAGAAGCTGATAAGTTGGAACGTTCGAATGACGACCAATGCACATGCAAGTTGATTGCATATTATTTTCCTTCCTGGATTCATTATAAGAGGGTATTATACCATGATGTCCGTTCGTATTTGAGGGATTGATTTCAGATCTTCTAATAGAAAAAGAACCAGTTGTGAATACTTTTATATCTGTACCAAAGGATAAAGGAATGTTGAATTGCGCCGCATTTGTTGCTGGAATCATACAGGCCATGCTCGAGGTAATGGTAGACTAAAAATTCCTGAAATGTATTCATTTTTCAAATATCTGCTATTTAAAAAAAACGTTTAGGTAAGCAATTTCCCTTGCCAAGTTTCGGCTCACTGGTGGAATAACGGGACAGCTTACGTGATCCGATTTGAAGAAGTTGTAATTTCTCGCGAAGCTGCTATTGTGGATGGTCCTAGATAACTATTGCTGAGACAAGTCTCGTGTACCGGTTAAATTATGATATTTGTGATCGCATTGCTTGATGTACAGCTTATTTCTGGAATAATATATTATTTATTAAAATAATTGTAAAACAAAGTTTTGTTCGGGCAACATTTACTTGAAAATTTCGTTGCTCTCTTCTCATTTTTATTGTAAAGCTCTGTTTTCTAGACGTGTTTTTATTGAATTATGAAATGGATGAAGCTTCTCGTTAGAAAGATCCCTCCACCACCTAGACGATCGTCTTCGGTACGCTTTACTAGCATTTTTACAATTTACAAATATTCACAGTAATCTAGGGAAATGATTTTGTCGAAAAGCGGTAATTATACGTGATCATTAGGTTCTCCACCTGGTGTTGAGCCTTTCACAATTCTACAGGTTCTGCAGAATGCCTTGGGGATTAAACCGATACCATGAGAAGTTACTAAGCATATCATGATTGACTTTCATATGACACTTCCCTAAATTGGTAACGAGGGTTGGGGGGATATGTGGAGGTGGGAGTTGACAAGGGGATCAGCATGGGGACTTACCGTTCACT